CACCCTTGCAACTGCCCATTTGAGAGCTCGCTGCCTCACCCGAGGCCTCCCAGGCCTCCTGGCCATTGTCCGTTCTCAGGCGGTACCCACACTATGACCGAATAATTCCTCCTTTACTGTAATTCTTACCTTATTACAGGGGAATATGAGCCAAGGCCACACAACTCACTGCCAAGTAGGAACTAATGATGCCAGCATATGCTTCTCCGGTAACCTCCCCATTGGGTGGCTGGGGATGTTCCGGATGCCCATGGCTTTGCCATGGATATCTCATTAGAACTAGAAGTAACACCTCAATCTCAGGGGGTCTCTTACCAGAGCAAGACCTAACCTTTCTAGAAAGATACACTCCTCTATCCAGTGTGCCCAGAGTCTTACGTGTGACAAGTGACGTTGTACTGTTTCACAAAGTTTAGCTGAAAAAGCGACTGATGAACTTTAGAATAAGCCAACATTAAGAGCTGCTACAAATGGGTGGAATTAGACAAAGCCATTTGCCTTTCACCTCTTGCTTCAGTTTTCGTAAAATTGCCCAAAGGTATTGCAAACCATTTGCAATTTCGTTGGCTTGGTTAAGGAGTTGGCAGTGTCAAGTGGCCCTGTGTAAAGTCACGTCACTGCTTCTGTAGAGAGCAAGGAACGTCAGAGAGAAGGGAAGTGTGGCCAAGACGCTTCTTAGAACGCTGCAAGAAGAGGAGGTGAAAAGGGAAGAGCTGCTTATAAACACCGGGAAAGGAGATGGCGTTGCCTCGTATCCTTGATTTCTCATTATGTAATCAAATAAAGTCACAAGTCTCATTTCTTACAAGCCTGAAAGTGGATTCTACTCTGCATTTAGGAAAAAGCCCTACTTGCTAACTCGGTGCCCTCAAAGAGATCACAAGCTGGTTGTGAACACCCTATGTCCTGGGAATGCTTACTGTCAAAGCTCTGCAAATTTTCTCATTGAAGGAACTCAGGGCATTATGCAAATTAAAATTTGAAAATGTATACAGCTGTACATGAAAAAAAAATCCAGGTTTATGCTCTGCATTGTATTACCAAAGAATTTATCACTTTTCAATGAACATTCAATTATTTTAAACTAAGTGTGCAGTGAGAGCATTTATAACATAATCTCATTTCCAGAGTGTTCCATCCCAACTCCTCCAGCATAAGTAGCTTAGAAGGTTAGATATTTTTCCCCCAGAGGATTAAACATCTCAGAAGAGTGGCTAAGAGGCAGCACTGGTTTCCTCTCATTTTCTCAAAGTGAATTTAGCCTTGTGAAGAAGAATAAAGTGAAGGTCAATGGTTAGATCCACGGCTTTAAAAAAATGCAGCTTTCCTTACTCTGAATTTATTATAACCAAAAAGGCCATGAGGCAGCCATTAACGATTTTAAGTTACAACAGAAAGAATAAAACACTTACTTAGGGTTAAACAAGAATTTGATGGTCACTTGCTGCCAACCTCCGCTTCATAGGGAAGGAGGAGAAGGCCAGGGAGGACTTTCTTACCCACACTGACTTGACCAGAGATGCCAGCACTAGAGTGAAGATGCCCCATCCTATGACAGCCTGCACTCAGAGGCTGATTCTGAAATACTCATGCCAAAGGCAGCCAATGGCTGTGTACAAGGAGAAAGAACAGTTCCTCAGAGCTGTGTCCTTGGGCCAGTCACCTGGACCTATCACAGTCTCTTTCTTTCTCTCTACACTTGGGCTGAATCCCGCCTTCCCTGCCTGCCAAGCAGGTTTGGTTTGAGGGCCAAATGAGTGAAAGTCCGTGAAATGTCCCTAAGTGTTGAAGTGTGTAGTAAATGATAATAGCCCCAATTTGTTGAACATGATGATGTACCAGGCATTGCACAAAGCATCATCTACCCATCACAGCAAACACTGTTGGGAGGCAGGGACACCCCCACCCTCCTTGTACACATGGAAATAGGACTTCGGTTACATGGCTCTCCCAAGGCCTCACAGCCTTGAAAACAAGCACTTATTAAATCCCCAGTGATGCTACCTTTCAGCCATTCAATGTGTAATGGCCAATAATTAGATATGCAAACACATATAACCAAAGAAGATTAGAGGAGACATGTATTCTACATAAACTACATGAAAATAACACTTCAGTATTTTCCTGATTTTTTTCTGGTAATTAAAAATGATTGCCCTTTATATTTTTTTATGGATACAGTTGTATTGTCTTTAACAAATTGTAGCCTCCTCCCTTTTAAAGAGTGAATTAGTGAGAAAATAATGTTATCCAAGATTTTAAGAACCTAGCGTGTGTGTGTGTGTGTGTGTGTGTGTGTGTGTGTGTAGGATGGGTTTTTCTAAAATATTTTACTTGCATGCTAATGTATAATTTTAATGACTGGTTGTTAAAATATTGAATTGAGGTAAATTCAGCTTTTCTTACAGTGTTTTTATGATAAATGTGAAATTGAAAATGGAAACACTCCATTCAGATTGTGTGCCAGCTACAACAGAACCTCAGCATGACGGAGAATTCACTGAAATAAGTAACTTCCTCATGGAATATGACAGTCAGCCTTTGTTTTGGGTACACAGTCAATGAACTGATTTCCTATTTGTTTTTACTTTCCAACAAGTTGCGTCATTTGCTGATAGATATCCAGCCTTTTACTAAGGAACCCTGATTTTCTCAAGTCTCAGTGTGTGGAGGAGGTGGGAATTTGGTGGGGGAAGCTTTTTCAATTTGAGAACCTTTGCCATTTTTTGTTTCAATCATGACTAAGATATAAAAATCCATGGTCAGCATTGCCAGTTGCTACCTGGTCACTACCTCCCTGAGGGGCAATGAGGCCATCCAGGGTTTGGTAATCAAAATATTTTATTATTTGTATTCACATCATCATTAAAAAAAATAGCCTCTAGTGAATCAATATGGCAAATGAGTAAACCAGAAGATGGCGTTGAAGATTAGCAGTCACATTTAAAAACAAGGTAGCGGTGTGAAGGCTCACAGTTTCACGCAATGACTGTTGTTCTGAACTAAAAGCAGAGGATGTGGATGAGCTAAAATTTGAAATATTTTGAGAATGACTAAACCCGGTGCAGAGGACACGTGTACGAAAGTGCAGAAAGCTCTCATTTGCCATTTTTGTACTTAGCAGACTCCTGTCTAGTATGTTGGTGAACGTTTGAGGCAAAGGTAACCATTGATTAAAATACAATGCAACAAGAAGGCAACGATCTTTGCTTTGTTCACTGATGTTTTCCAAGTGCCTAGGATGCTTCCTGACAAGTCATAGGTGTTCAAAATATATTTGTCAAATGAATAAATCTCTGAAAGGAAAGAAAAGGAAGAAAAACAGGTTGTGACCATAACTTTTTTTGAGCAAAACCCTGTTGTTTATTACATAGATTTGGGTAATGGAAAACTTACTTGGGTGAAATGAAAAATGGCATCCTGTTAATTTCTTAGAATATCTGTTGGTTTTAGGAAAAGCATACATACCTCACCACCTGTTTTGCTCTAGCCTAAACATAGCTTTTTCTTTGTTTGGGAGACATTGACCCAATATATAAATTAAAAGGAAAACTGAGAAATAAGTGAAATCAAAAGCTTTTCCAAAGTTGCAAGTTGCCCTAGGGTGGTGGTGGTCTAAAATCACACAAAAACCAGTGATCTGATGGTTTACCTGAAAATGCAAAGTAAACACACATACTCAGCATCCCAAATGATCAGGTGAAAGCTCAGCAGATGAAAGCTCACAGATTAACTTTGAGATTAAAGACATCTTGGAAAAGCATGTAAAATCCCAGGTCCACTTAAATATTATTCCTATTTGGGGCTTTTATTTTTATTTTTGAAACGGAGTCTTGCTGTGTCACCAAGGGTGAGTGCAGTGGCACAATCTTGACTCACAGCAACCTCTGCCTCCAGGGTTTCAAGTGATTCTCATGCCTTGTCCTTCCAAGTAGCTGGGACCACAGGCACCTGCCACCACACCTGGCTAATTTTTATATTTTTAGTAGAGATGGGTTTTCACCATGTTGGCCAGACTGGTCTGGAACTCCTGACCTCAGGGGATCCATTACCTCAGCTTCTCAAAGTGCTGGGATTTTAGGCTTGAGCCACTGTGCCCGGCCTATTTGGGGCTTTTATACCCCAGTAGTAAACTGCTTTCCACCACATTGAGGTTGAAATGTCATTTTAAGGTGAACTGAAGCTTGGAAGTGACTAAGCACTTGGATCCTTGGGGACCCGCTCCCCCTACCCCATTTCTTTCATGCTAAGATAATTGAAACTTTAGGTTCGAGGCATTGTCTGAGTTACTTGAATCACCAGCCTAATAGATGCAAAAGGATGCAAGCTTGTCAGACACGCAGACACCGTATTTGAACCACGCTTTACAGCTCAAGGGACCTGGGCCATTTCCTATTTTCTTTTTAGTGAGTGCGATGTTCTGTAAACACCACGGAGGGGCAGGGTTCGGGATAATGGCCTTGCCACGGGTGCTCCCGCAACTGCCACCTCCAGTTCGATTTGGACCATTCCTCCGTCTTCGGTTACAAGCTCTGCAAAGCAAAGTCCCCTTCGCACCAGATTCCCGCTACTACACGCCTCCCATTTCCCGCCCTGGCCACATCGCTGCAGTTTAGCTGTTGCAGGTGATTGACTGGCCTCCTGTCAGGTCCTGGCGCAAAGGCGAGATTCGCATTTCACACCTCGCCCTTCGCGGGAAACGGCCCAGTAACAGTCCCAGAATCGGCGCGCGCCCAGCTTGGAGGTGCGCTCTCCGAGCGCGATGCGCAGCGGGTCGCCAAGGACGCGGGAACCCCAACCCGACCGCGGCAGATCCCAGCCTTCGCGCTGGCCCCGGGGTTCGCCCGTCCGGCTCCGGTTCTCGGCTTGCAAAGTCCCGCTCGCCAGTCCAAACCCCGGCCCCCTGCAGGACTCGTCGCCCTTCCCCGCCCCGCCCCGCCCCAGGCCCCGCCCCAGGCCTCCAGGCCCCGCCTTTCAAGTTCTATAAAGTTCCTCTTTCCCACCTCGCACTCTCAGTTTCACCGCTTGATCTTGGGACCCACCGCTGCCCTCAGCTCCGAGTCCCGGGCGAGGTAAGGCCTGGAGTCGGGCAGGAGGAGGGGTGTAAGGCTGATAACAGAGAGGACCTGGAGCGCGAACCAGAGGTTCGATCCCCAGGGCAACGCAGGGCACCCCGGCTCTGGAGCGGGAAGGGAGCGCGCCCGGTCCTGGAGCTCCGACTCCCACCCCATCTTCGCTGAGCCGGGAGCGCTGCTGCGGGCTCCGAGGCCCGCCTCCCGAAGCGCTGCCGGAGCCTCCCCACCTGCACTCCTTGCTCCCGCGGCCCCGCCACTCGCCAGCTCCCGAGGTCGCTACACGCTGGACGGGATGAGCTAACCGGACTGTTGGGGCCCCAGGAGTGGCTGAGGCGGGGCGGTCCAAGGCACCCACACAGGATGGCACACTTGCCTGCGAGGAACAGCCCCGACCCCGTGAACCCCAATCCCAGGCTCCTTTCCCTGCTCTTCGCTTTTAAGGGGCCCCAACTCACCGCAGCCTTCAGCGCCGGCGCTCACCCGCTGGCGGAGTAGAAGGAGGAGGAGGAGCTCCACATCTGGGTCACTCGAGCCTTGCGTGCGATGGCCTAGCCGGCCTGGCGCGGTCCCTGCCGTCCAGGCAGCTGGCGTTGCCCTCTCCCGCGCACTCCCCTCCTCGGTCTCCCGGGCCTGCTCTGGGGTCCGGCGGACGCTCTGCGGGCGGAATCCCTTGCTACTGGGCTACAGCCCCCGCTGTCCGCCACTGGTTGTTTGCAGGGCCCAATTAATTCCCGCTAGCTAGGCAGGGATAGGGGTCCTATTCGGGACGAAGGGTCGGGATTCGAGCAGACAAAGCGGAGGGTGGAAGAACCCGGTGTTGCGCCTTGAACGCCTGGCGGCAGGCGGGGTCCCCAGCGCGTGGAAACTGACAGAGTCGCGGGAAAGGGGCGGGAAACTACTTGGGAGTGGGCGAAGAGAAGCGAGGCTGCAAGTGAGTGCCTACGGAGGGTCAGGAGGGATGGCGGCTGGGAGATGGGGAGAGAGTGCAAAGCCAGCGGCGCGCGTCTGGAGCCCTCGGGCTGCCGGTGCATTACCAGAGTGGAGAGGGGAGCAGGCGGGTGGAGGCCTTCTCGAGGCGGCTCTTGGAAGGCAGACGACTGTGTCCTCCCAGGGGATGCGCCTGGGCCAGCCGCGAAGGTGCCTTGTCCAGAGGGCCTTGGCGACCCTGACACGGCTCGCGCGTGCTTCGCAGCCTCAAAGACCCCAGGGCCTCGTGGTCACTGCCACAGGGGATAGGGGGCTGGGTGCCCGGAACTCTGTGCCTCGTGGCTGAAGGGCAGCTCTCCTCCCTGCAGCGCAGCGCAGTGCACAGCAGAGCAGAGTGGGCGAAGGACCCCGGGCGCGGGCGCGGACGGCACGCGGGGCATGAACTTGGAGGGCGGCGGCCGAGGCGGAGAGTTCGGCATGAGCGCGGTGAGCTGTGGCAACGGGAAGCTCCGCCAGTGGTTGATCGACCAGATCGACAGCGGCAAGTACCCGGGGCTGGTGTGGGAGAACGAGGAGAAGAGCATCTTCCGCATCCCCTGGAAGCACGCGGGCAAGCAGGACTACAACCGCGAGGAGGACGCAGCGCTCTTCAAGGTCTCCGGCCCAGGGAGCCCGCGGGGGCGCGGCGGGAGGGCCCAGAGAGCCCGGGGTCCCCGGCGTTGACTCCGCGGCGAGCCCAGGGAACTGCGCGGGGCGGACGGGCGGGCGGCGGGAGCATCAGGTGGCATCGCCCGCAGCCACGGGAGGAAAGGAGGCCTCAGCTCTTAGGGTGCACAGGCCGGGAGCCGGGTCCCAGTCCTGAGCGCGTGGCGACTGCAGGGAGACTCTTGGAGGCTCGGCCCGGGGAAGGGCGGTCAGAAGCCTGAGGGTTCTCGGTTGTTGGTCTGTGTGTTCCCGTTTCCACGCAAGCCTCCCACCCTGCCTCCGGATCCGGGTCTGCCTCCTTCATCAATGGGTCTCCCTGTCTCTCTCGGTGCGTCCCGCGCTGGTGCGGCTGTCTCTGTTTCTCTTTCGCTGCTTTCTCTCTGAGTCTTTCTCTCTGCATGTTTTTCCTGAGGTCAGCCTCTCTTCACTCTCCTGCTAGCTCTTTTCGGGTGCTCCCATTTCTGTGTCTTTCTCTGTGTGTGTGTGTCTCTGCCTCTCTCTCTCTTTCCAAGTCTCTCTGGAAACATCCCTCGCATCGCTCTGAAACTCCGGCCTCTCTCTGGATCTGTCTCCCTTGCCATTTGCGTGAGTGCACACACGTGTGTACGACTGTTTTCCCCCAAGGCAGTTTACCCAGAGAACTGTGCGTCTGGGCCCAGCCCCCACCTGTGGGCAGAGCAAGGGAAGGGGACTTCCTCCGGGAATTTGGTCTGAATTTGCTCTACGGTGCCTCAGCTGCGTGGCCATCCAGATGTCTCCTGTGGGTGGCAGCTCACACCACAGCTGTCCTTAGTCCTAGGCAAGCTCACCTCAGACACTGAGGAGGGTGGGTAGAGCCCCCTCCAGGAACCTCTGCATCTCAGTTTACCTTTTATAAACACCCAGAAAATGTGTGTCTTCAACTTGGCAGTGATAGGGTCCGAGATGGAAAATAATTTTCCTAGGGGATACCTGGGGTCTTTCCATTTGCATTTTGAGCAACAGTGTAAATCTGAAAGACCTGTGTATCATCCTCTCTTTTAGAAATACAGTTTCAAGATTCTTTGTAAAATATCTGTATTTTTGGTTGTGCATGGTGGCTGACACCTGTAATCCCAGAACTTTGGGAAGATGAGGTGGAAGGATCCCTTGTGGCCAGGAGTTCCAGACCAGCCTGTGCAACACAGTGAGACCCTGTCTCTGCAATAAATAAATAAATAAATAAATAAACAAAAATAGCTAGGCGTGGTAGTGAGCACCTCTAAGCCCAGGGCCCAGCTACGGCTGAGGTAGGAGGATCTCTAGAATCCAGGAGATCGCAGCTGCAGTGAGCTATGATCATGCCACTGCACTGTAGCCTGGGCAACACAGCAGGACTCTGTCTCTGAAAAGAAAACAAAAAAACTGAGATCCATATTTTGAGTTTTCATTCTCTTCATTCTTGACCGCCAGGCTTGGGCACTGTTTAAAGGAAAGTTCCGAGAAGGCATCGACAAGCCAGACCCTCCCACCTGGAAGACACGTTTACGGTGTGCTCTCAACAAGAGCAATGACTTTGAGGAACTGGTTGAGCGGAGCCAACTGGACATCTCAGACCCGTACAAAGTGTACAGGATTGTTCCTGAAGGAGCCAAAAAAGGTAGGGGCTTTCCTGAATTAGGGTCACACAACAGAGGCAGCCAGATCCTTGAGGCCCCTTAACTTCATTCTGAGCATCACTTTCTAGCTTTCCTTTTGTGCTGCCTGACTGCCTTCTGCCTCACAGTCAAGCCCAGCCTCCTTGCCTGAGTTATGTGGGTCACAAGCTGAAATTCCTGTGGTGTTCAGCATAGGAGAGTTAATCACACTGTACACCTCAACATATATGGGTGTGTGTGTGTGCATTGAATATGTGTTTTCCAGTTAGTCTTAAAAGAAAAAGAAAATAACCTGGAAAACTTGTTAAAGCTTTACTTATCTTAGAGTCTTCAATGAGTAACTATTTTGCAGAAGAGGAGTAATGAGTTACTATTCACGGTAAAACACTGTCAACTTTTAAAGTGTAACATGGTCAGCTGAGGTGCTTATTAAAAGTAAGCTTTCTGGATCCCTCTTTTGACGATTCTGACCAGTGTGTCTGGAAGAGAGCCCAGGAATTGGCATCTCAAAGAAATCCTTCAGGTGATCACTTGGGAAGCATCTAGCTGGTGGGGTCCTTTATGTCATGAGGCACATTCACATGCTGTCTGTCATGTATTCCTCTACCTGTCCTATACAACGAAGACCTTGAGGAAAAAATCAGTGTAATGGCATGAACAAATAACTTCCCAAGGGAGCTACTGAAAATTACCTTATTTGTCAACACCGTGTTATGCATTCTAAGAATTAAACACTTAGGTATTTTTACAAGATTTGACATTTAGTTAGGTCAGTTCCTGTTTTCACTTTGTGCCATTTCCCTTTTCCCCAAACACATAGGAGCCAAGCAGCTCACCCTGGAGGACCCGCAGATGTCCATGAGTCACCCCTACACCATGACAGCGCCTTACCCCTCGCTTCCAGCCCAGGTATGGTGGAGGGCACTGGGCACCCTGAGGGCAAGGCTGTATGGACCAGCTGCCCACATGGCCAGAGAACCACAGCAGCCCAGACAACAGAACTTGCCATTTGCTGTGGCTAATCCAACAGCCCAGCAAAACCCCAGGTCACCAAATGAATGCTTCGCTTGCCACAGGGCGCTGCTGTTGGAGTGGGTTTTAAGTAGGGGAGGGTCGGGCGTGTCTGCCTGTTGGAATATGCTTCTCAGGTCTTCTGGGAAACAGACCTTTTGTGGAAGTTGAAGATTTTGGAAGTAGTGCCTTATCATGTGAAACCACAGGGCAGCTGATCTCTTCAGGCTTTCTTGACGTGAATGACAGCTTTCTTTTATCCACTTTGGTGGGTAGAGGAAGGCAAATTCCCCTGTGGTACTTTTGCTGCCAGATTTAGCCATATGATGAAGCTTTACATAAAACAGGACAACACTGTCTCCATTGTCCTTTTTGACCCTCTGTGGGTGTTTCCACCTAGTGTGATGAACGATTCATTCCAGTCTTTTCAGATGATGAAATGCTTCAGCTGTCAGCCTGAAAAGGGATTCCCTGAGGAGTTTGGAGGGTATAAGAGCACCCCCTGTCTCAGTGCCAGAGTGCTTTTCATCTCAGGCTCTCCTGTGCTCCTTTAGCAGGTTCACAACTACGTGATGCCACCCCTTGACCGAAGCTGGAGAGACTATGTCCCCGATCAGCCGCACCCGGAAATCCCGTACCAATGTCCCGTCACATTTGGACACCGCGGCCACCACTGGCAAGGCCCAGCTTGTGAAAATGGTAAGGGAGACACCAGAGCAGAAGAAACAGAAGAGCTAATCTGACTATGGGCCATGGTGAATCCTGGTTTGTCCCGGGCAGCACCAAAACTCTTTCCCCTTCTTGGAGGCTGTGTGTGCAGCTCAGGTGAGAGGAGGATTTTCTCAGTCCTGTGGGATGGTGGCATCCCAGAGCCAAGTTTACGCTCAGGATCCATGCCAGGCACTGCCCTTCATGGGGTCTTATTTAAACACCACAGAGATCATTCCAGGCAGTGGAAAACAGCCCTCTTTTTATATATATAGAGGAGATTGTGGAAGCTCATAGGAAGTAGAAATGCTGGGAGATTTTCGAGCTGGTATATTTCTCTTGAATTGTTGTGTGTTCATTGTTGTTACTCTTGGTATTAGAGGTGATACTAAAACAGAATGCAAAAATACCATGGAAAACACATAAAACATCTCTACAAGGTGGAAAACAGCCCCTTTTATATATATATAGAGGAGATTGTGGAAGCTCATAGGAAGTAGAAATGCTGGGAGATTTTTGAGCTGGTATATTTCTCTTGAATTGTTGTGTGTTCATTGTTGTTACTCTTGGTATTAGAGGTGATACTAAAAACAGAATGCAAAAATACCATGGAAAACACATAAAACATCTCTACAAGTACCTACCTACGGTTGGGTCCCAGAGAAACTTGCTGATTCTGGATTAGATGTGGTCCCCTGCCCTCAGGAGTTCCCCAGACATCAAAACGAGTTCCCTCAGCAGGAGCACTCATTAGCTAGCTGCAGCGAGAATCTCGCAATGCTGTGCTGGATGCTGCAGAACTCAGGCTTTCAGGGCTTTTGAGTTAGTTACTTAAATAGGAGTCCTGAGACGGGTCAACACGTTGAACCCTTTGGATGTTTTAGGAATATTTGTTCCTTCACAGTTTGGCCTTTTTTCCCAGTCATGTTCAGGCTGTCCATGGCTGCAGGTAGTGAAGAGGTGTACTGCTATTTAATGTTTGTATTGAGGGGCATGTTCACAAAAAAGCTCAGAATTCAGTTGTGTTAGCTTTCTTGGAGGGATTTGCAGCAAGGGCTGGTGTCCAATATGGTAGTGGAGGAATCGGCTCACATAAAACTAGTTTTTGAAATTCAGACTTGTGTTCAGGCTCTACGGGAAAGAGGCGATGCTTAGAAGTGTGCAAAATGATGGAATAGGTGGAGACATGTCTTGCAGCATTGGAAACACTAAAAGAAGCGGCAGCAGAATCAGGTGTTCGGTGCTACGTTCTTCCTCCGTTCATGTTTCACACATTGTCTTCAGGACCATGGTTGTCTTCTCCCTAACCCACAAGAGGCAAGAAAAATAGACATAGTCTAAACAATTTGTTCATATTTAATTGAGCTCTTTAGCACAAACTCATGTAGACCTGAGCTCTCAGCTCTGTTGTGAACCCGCTGTGTGAACAAGGACAAATCACATCATCTGTCTCTGAGCCCCAGTCTCCCTGGTGATCAGTTACAGAGAGAGGGCTCCGAGTTTCCTCCCAAAGCTGCGCCCTGGCTCATTTCTCCCTCAGCTTCCGTTTCCCAGCTGGTCCCCGGCTCATCTTTGCCTCACAAGAGTGCGCCTTGCTAGTCACTCGTGCTGGGCATGGGTGGGAAGGTGATTGGGCACCAGTCTCTTCCTTCCCAGGCTTCACACACACCCCAGGAAGACCTGCACTGCGTCGGACTCTCTGTCTAGACATCATCTGATTTCTATTTGCAAATGCAGGTTGCCAGGTGACAGGAACCTTTTATGCTTGTGCCCCACCTGAGTCCCAGGCTCCTGGAATCCCCACAGAGCCAAGCATAAGGTCTGCCGAAGCCTTGGCGCTCTCAGGTGAGTGCAGGGTTTGGTTCTGGATTCACCACAGGAGGCCAGCCTCTGCTACCAGCTCTGTCATCTTTGGGCGGATTCGATGGGACTTTAGACTCTTGCTTTGCTCCCCCTGGGGTCTGGAGTTGATGTAGACGCATCCTGTGCATGAGGTCACCAGAATGAATTAGGAGCAACATTGGAAAACTTAGCAATGAGAAGCCAGCTTGTGGTTCTGCTGCCAGTTTTAGCCACTGGCTTGAATGGAGTCATTTCAGCTTCTTCTCTGGCACCTCTCCAGATTTCTAGGAATGTACACACACTCCGGTTTCCTTCACCAAGGGCCCCTCTTCAGCCAATATTCTCACAATGTGAAACAATTGCTTCGAAGTATAGAAGGGCATCTCATTTTGCGAAGCTGATCATTCTTCCTGGTTCAGCCACAAAGTCCTCCTTCCCTGCTCCCTGGGGACATTAGTTCTGGTCCCTCATCTCTATAATGTTGATATGCCTCAAAGTAATGCATATTTTGATCTTCCTCTGAACTTTAATATAGCTTGCAAACAAATATGGAATCAATCTGATTTTTAAAGTTTTATTTAAAAAAAATTCCTGTACCATGGAGATCTTACCTATTATAAGGAAGGCACCTTTAAGCTTGCCAAGCATATGTGCCATATGTATATTTACTTTTTAGATAGTATTTTAGATTGTTTTTAAATGGGATTTGCATTTATATTAAAAACAGATAGCTTAAGGTTTGCAATTCTTATCTTGCCCTCTGGCATCTTTAAAATTCAGTGATGAAAAATACTAACTAAATGCTGAGGGTCTCAGGGAGACGAGAGTTGCGACACTTTGGTTGCTCACAGGTGAGCTGGAGTTTCACCTGCCAGCCCTTTTAAGTTCTGAATGAGGCTTGCACCTTGTTTTCTGAGATGCTCATGAGTAACTGAGGATGCCCATTGGGAGGAGGTGCTTCTGAGCAGGAAGGCTTGTGTTTGTTTTTAGAAACTTTCAAACCCTTTTCTTGAACACCTAAGACTTGTGTGGGTGCTTGAAGAGTAGGAAATAAACAGCTATTTATATCTCTGCAACCTCGTGATTTCTGATGACATTAAACGAAATGAAACCTGCCCCGAGAATCACCTCGAATGGCCAACACCCACTCTCTTTGGGGCGCACTGTCTGACTCGTTCTCAGCCAGTATGTGGAAGCAGAGAATTGAGACTGTGATGTCTGTTAAGTCTCAAAACCTGCTATTGAGGAATAAGAGAGTTTTGTGGGTTTCTTTTTTTGGTATGCATAATACAGATTAATGATCAGCCATGAGCACATTTATTAGAGAACTGTGATTCCCATTGATGTTGGGGTCTCACACAGTTACCAGTGTCAGCCGCCTTCTGCCTGTGCTGCTCCCCTGCAGGCCGGCCGAGGAGCTTGTGCAAACCTAGCTTGGTTATTTCAGCTCATGGGCGCTGTTTCAAGGATGTTCCTGAAATCAGCAAAACATTTGTAAATGGATTCATCTTGTTTAAAGTTTCAGAGAGCACAGTTTTAGCGTTCTTTTCAAACTTAAGCACAAAGCCCGGTGGTAATTTCAGCAGACTTTACATGAACTTTTAGAGTATTTTTTCTCATTGATTTCTTTCTTTTCACAAGAATTTTGTGATAAAAACACCACATAGCCGATGTGGAAAACTAATTTAAAAATCAGAAAAACAAAAATGAAAGATAAAAGCATCACATTCTACCACCCCAAAATCACCATTAAAGCCTCAGTGATTACCCTTTAATATGTATATGTGCATGTGTTTATATATAAATTATATAGACATATATAATTGAGCATCTGATTATATATGTAATTTGTATATATGTACACACACTTGGGTTTTTACCTAAATGATATCATGTTATTATTTCAGGGAACTTTCAGGTGTGTGGACAGACTTGCTTCCCTTCTGAAACACTGTTATTTTTATTTTTATTTTTTTTTGCTAGCAGAAATTAAACTTAGGGTTCATTTCCTCCAAAGTAAAAACTGATTTACGTAAAGATTAATTTTTGTTCCATGACACATGACTTAAATGTCATCACCACTGTCATCATCATTCACAAATAAGACTTAGTAAGTTCTTAATAGTGATGCTCTCTGAGTTCAACTTATTTTTCAAGAAAAATTAATGAAAGGTACACTCCTCCCTTAAAAAAAGAGTCTTTGGCTACATGTATTTGAAATATGCTAGCTTAGACAAGTTAAATGGGTTTCTTCCCACGGGACTTCACTAAGTGTTGACCAAGCTCGAGCTGCCTATGGCTGTCTGAGGGAGACAAGGGCGCACGGCGTTTCCCAGGCCTCCTTGATGCCGGAACCTTGTGCTCCTCCATGGAGCATGTGGGACACTAGAGTTCCACCACAGGTGCTTGGCTCTGTGGAGCCACTGGCCTCGAGGCGGTGTCCTTGGCCCCCAGCACTGACTCCGGCGCCCTGTGTTTGCAGACTGCCGGCTGCACATTTGCCTGTACTACCGGGAAATCCTCGTGAAGGAGCTCACCACGTCCAGCCCTGAGGGCTGCCGGATCTCCCATGGACACACCTACGACCCCAGCAACCTGGACCAGGTCCTGTTCCCCTACCCAGAGGACAATGGCCAGAGGAAAAACATTGAGAAGCTGCTGAGCCACCTGGAGAGGGGTGTGGTCCTCTGGATGGCCCCGGACGGGCTCTATGCGAAAAGACTGTGCCAGAGCAGGATCTACTGGGACGGGCCCCTGGCGCTGTGCAACGACCGGCCCAACAAACTGGAGAGAGACCAGACCTGCAAGCTCTTCGACACGCAGCAGTTTTTGTCAGGTAAGGCTCCTCATTATCTGTTAGAATGGAGGTGGTGATGGCTCGCCTACCATAGGGGTCAGAAATGACAGGGTCCTTCATCCTAGGCTGAAGTCTTCCTTCTGTGGACTCTGGTGCCCACCGGCCTTGACCCCAGTAGAGATCTGTCTGGCTCTGTTGTGGGCAGAGAGTCCGGAGCACAGGGGGACTGTGGCAATTCTGGTTTTCAACAAACAGTCACACGTCTTAACACAATTCCATTATGTTGCACTATGATCTCAACAAACATGTCTGCTGATGTGATGGCTCTTTCCAGGTTCCCAGAGAAATCGTAAAGGTTAGAAGCTTATTGTTAATGTTCTTGGTTGTCAGATGTGTCTCCCTCAGGCAGATGCCACCCCACGAGTGGGATGGAGGGTGGAGTGGACTGAACTGATTTTGCACAGGGAAGGTTCCAGGAGAGTGCTTTGAGTCGGCTCTGTGATATGAACGTTTCTAAGCATATTTTTCAGAACTAGTGAGTTTTGTTTTCTACTTTGGATTTCATGACAATTCCATAAGCCTCTGGCTGGCTTCTGTGACGCCCCTGGCCCTGTCATGCACAGTGCCCTGGAGGCTTCGTGGAGTCGTTGAGGTGGAGGGAGCCTCCAGAGTGGAAGGGAGCTGTTTACCTGCCAGCTCACTGCCAGCTCTTCCTCTGTCTCTTCCTAGCCCTGCCTCTTCCTGAACCCCTTCACAAACTCCTGCGTCTTTGATTTTTCACATGCTTCCTCGTTTCCTGAAAGTGCTTCTTCATTCAACTGATTAAAATAAAAATATGACACATCTATGTGCTCTGGCACTGTTGACATGTGCTCATACTTTTGGGTGTAAGTGGCCCATCTTTTTGTAAACATCCAAATTATCTTTTGGTGCCCACAGCAAATATGTCCCTAGATAACTTAGCTTCAGGCCAGGTGTGTTGGCTCATGCCTGTAATCTCAGCACTTTGGGAGGCCAAGGTGGGCAGAGCACTTGAGGCCAGGAGTTTGAGACCAGCCTGGCCAACATGGAAAAACCCTGTCTCTAGAAAAAAAAAAAAAAAAAAAAAAAAAAATCAGGAGGCCGAGGCACACAAATTGCTTGAACCTGGGAGGCAGAGGTTGCAGTGAGCTGAGATCACACCACTGTGCTCCAGTTTGTGGGACAGGGCCAGACTCTGTCTCAAAAAAAATAAAAGCAAAGAGAAAAGATAACCAAGCTTCACAGAGGCTGACAATAGGAAGAGGGAGAACTGTGCTGTTCCCCGAGGCGGTGGCAGGTGTCTCATTCTAAGTGGCAGAAGTATCCCCAAGCCCCAGTCAGGGCGGCCCCATCCTTTTTGGGGTTGGGCATAGTGTTCATGGGGGACCAAGGAACTTGAAGGGCAACTGTGGGGACCCCCGTCAGCATCTCCTGTGTCTGCTTTGGGATCTGGAAGAGCTCACATGGGACAGGAAGACTGAAGTCCAGTGGGTCTGGATTTCTGAAGACTCTGGACCTCGGTGCTTCACAGGGTGGGGGCTTTCTAATGAAGGTGTCACAAGGAACTGGCACTGGCCTCTCTGAGTGCCTCTTGTCAGGCATTTTTAGGGAAGTAGAGCCTCCATGGTGACTAAGCGACTCAGTGCTGGAAGGTGCACTTTGAGTCACAGGTGCACTGCGTGAGAGACAGCACAGGCAGGGCAGACGCTTGTGAGAGTCCTTCGGCTGCAAACTCACATGCTTAGAACTTACTATTAATCTGTGAGCAAGAGCTAGTCTTGGCTTTTATTCCTTCCTCTGTAACCAAGGGCTGTGCTCTTTGCCCACTGCAACCTCTCACCTCAAAGTGTTCACTGAGGTTCAAGGAGGATGCTGTGAACGTAAAAACAGCAGCCGTGCCGACCAGCTTCTGCATAATTAAGCATTCCCATCAAATGCTCTCATGGTATCTAGGGTTGGAGGCACGCTTTTTCAGAGAATTGTGCCAGCTCCCCACTCTGATTAGCCTGTGTAGGTGTTGTCTCAGATCACGGTGAATGTGAATGTATTTTACACATTCTGACTAAGTCGTTTGGGTTTGATTTGAATTCTGGAAAAAAAAAAAGCAGGAAGTCAAATAGTTCTGTGAGTTAGCTAGAAACTTGTGTTCAGTTGAAGAGAACAGTGGAGATCTCTGATATCTCCCCATTCAGGGTCTGTGCAGGCACTAGGGACAGCCCCCTGGGTGCGGCCCGAGGGTGTGTATCTGATAAGGATGCATCTGTTCTGCAGAAGCTTTAGCAGCTCCTGTGTCAAATCGTTTCTTTTGCGGGCATGACCTCTTACTATAGGTACAGACAGAAGATTCGTCTTGTGTACGCGGGAGGTGGCATGGGCTTAAAGTAACGGGGTGAGGGCACGCCTTCCCAACAATGTTCCAGTCCATTTCGTATCTTTTGGGTAGGCATGGTGGCTTCGGGATACATATGTATATATCCACAAGGGGCAGGTGGGGTAGGGGCTGCCCTGCTTCCCTACTCGTGTCAAGTTACTATTCTGTCCCTGGAGACAGGCAAGAAGCCGACTCAGAGTTACACAGCTCAGAGCTTAGGCACAGCGACAGAAGGACACAGCTGTCGATGGCTGCTGCTCAGTCACCACGTTGACGTTACGTATTTTCTGCGATGCCTGAGTTCTGTGGATGTCCGCAGTAGCTCAGATGCTGGGCTCTGTAGTGATGGGATGAGGTTTTAAAATTATCCTGGGATGTCAAAACATTCTAATTTTTTAAATGAAAATCTGTCCGTGGCAAAATTGGTCTTTTGCCATTGCGTGACTATGTTTCTTGTTCTTTCTCTGCCAGCTTCACTGTGGTATGCTACCTTTTGAATCTTCATGGGTCCAATGCTGTAAAGCAGTCTTCTAAAGCTGTTGACTAGTTCTCCTTGAAGAATCAAGGGAGACCGAGGGCCCTGGGGGAAAAGCATCCATATGAACGTATATATGCTATTTTGTATGTGGGGTGTTCACATCAGGAGCCCTACTTGGGGAAATAAAGAGTGCTCATTTCTCTTGCAGTGTTCAGAATCACAGTAAGCTCTTGCTTCCTGTTTAACCTGGTGTGTTTGGTGATAAGGGTTTCTGAACATGGTGTTTTTCTTGTGGGCTTCTGCAGAGCTGCAAGCGTTTGCTCACCACGGCCGCTCCCTGCCAAGATTCCAGGTGACTCTGTGCTTTGGAGAGGAGTTTCCAGACCCTCAGAGGCAAAGAAAGCTCATCACAGCTCACGTGAGTCCTCAGTTACACTCGTACTATGCACAGAGGCTTCCTGTTCTTTATAAAGAGCAGAGTCTCATTTAGAAAAGTCCCAAGTGAAAAGTAAATGTCAAACGACCTGGAAGAATAAGCGCAACCCTTAAAGTGGTGAGGAAGGAAGCGTGGTCCAGTGAGCAGCAGTGTGGGGACCCATGTGCTCCTCCCAGACTTGAGATCTACTCATCAAAGAACCAGGGAGGACAGCCCCAATGGAGGGTCCCACCCTCCCCATCTTTTTTGTTTTTCAGGAAAGTTGTCATATTTCCATTTTATGGGAATTGAAAAAGAGTGATGTGGTGAAAGCTGCCCTTTAAAATTCTCCATGTTAAGACTGCTTGGAGAATGCTATCTAGCTAGTGGATCTTCAATCAGTGGAAAAGCTTTTCCCAGATGGGAAGCTGTCCATTCCTTGGAGGCCTTTTTTACGTCTCTGGAGATGTGTCCTAGCACCTGTTTTATTTCTGGAATTTTAGAAATTATTTAATCATTGGGTATATGATATTTCAAAGATGCTAAATGTTTCAAGGAATTCAAGTAGCTCAGAGTCGCATAATGTTCTCTAGCATAGTTCAGGATGGGTTCAACTGTGGCAAGTCGTGCTAAAGGGTTAGGGTTAGGATTTGGGTTAGAGTTTTCTTTTTTATGAGAAAATGTTTCTGTAGATAAGATGAAGCATTACTTTGCCATACAAAACAGAATCTTTAACCCTTAAGACTTTTGAATTTGAAAACTTCACATTGCTACAAACTTGTAATTGTTATTAATAGGCTTGGATAGTGAGCAATACCAGATAAACTTACACCCCATCGCATCAAAATTCCCATCAGATTCTAGGTCTGATGTTATTTCTCATTGAGAACTGAAATGAAATATGATTTAATCTTGAACATACAACCCCCGCTTCTTGATTTTAAAAACAAAGACCGACCAACCAATATATAATCCCATAGACTCAGGAGTTTTCTCATGAGTTCTCTCCAGTGATTGACTTAATAATTGATGTGATTGTTGAAATAATAACTCATATGTTGTTAACAATAGGAATTGCCAAATTACTGAATAAACTTGGCATTGATAAGCAGCATTTAAGAAGTTGATGATCAGCTATCACATCAATCTAATTTTAAGGGTGACTTGTATGCAAGTTCTGGCCCTCTAAGTGAGGCAAAGATGGATCCCAAGACGATCCCTCGTCCTAAAGACAAAGCTGTGTGGTCCATAAAATGAATAAACACACTTGTACACCTATGAGTTCCACTTTTAAAAATTATTAATTAATTTCAGGTACTTACATAGGAGTTTTGCTTAGGTCGTTATATATAAAATACAAACTCTAATAGCATGATTGATGGAGAGCATTCAGCTTGCCTTAGATGCTGTCAATTCAGGAAAAGCTGAACATCAAGGTGTTTAGTTTTGCTTCGTTTTGTTTTATTTGGTGAGTGTGATCCGTGCTAATAACCAGACAGGATAAATTTGCGCCCAATTAACTTCTTTTTTCCCGCAATAGTAGTAGTGTTGTTGTTGAACTTTATTTTCTTTTTCTTTTATCTCTGGTTTAGAATTATACAGATTACCTAGAAAGCAAATCATTCAGGATGAGTTCCTTGTTTCTTTCAAACTGCAGTTGTGGAAAAACAAAATCATTGGCCAAGATGACCCTGCAGATGACCTCAGACTTCCTTTTAATTTGATCACTTTACTTGATTTGATTCAGTTTTAGTTAAATGTACATTTTAAGTGGCAGTTGATTTGAAAGTAGCAGTTTTAACCCAGAATTAAGTAGCTTTGTCCGCTTCTTTACAGGTTGATCTATGGAAGGACTAACAAAAAATTCCTTCTTTAGATGGCTCCAAATATGTTTTAATGTGTTCTAGCACGTAACTTTAGGCTTCCCGTTACAGTCTCCTTAGAATCTGAGTGCTATTTAATAGTGAGCCAGTTGCAGGATATCTCAGTAATGTCTTTTTAAAATCTCTTCTTAAAGGTAGAACCTCTGCTAGCCAGACAGCTGTATTATTTTGCTCAGCAAAACAGTGGACATTTCCTGAGGGGCTACGATTTACCGGAACACATCAGCAGTCCAGAGGATTACCACAGATCTGTCCGCCATTCCTCCATTCAAGAATGAAAAACATCAAGACGAATGATTTTTTTTTCTTTTCTTCTTCTTCTTTTCTTTCTTTCTTTTTTTTTTTTTTNCTATAGTAATCAAATTAGTGTGCTACTAGCATAAAAATAGGCATACAGATGAATGGTATAAAACATATAATAAAGGAATAAATCTATACATATTATTTTAATTTTTTTTTCACAAGGTCTTGCTCTATTGCCCAGGCTGGAATGTAGTGGCATGATCTCGGCTCACTGCAACCTCTGCCTCCCAGGTTCAAGAGAGTCTCCTGCCTCAGCCTCCCTGGTAGCTGGGATTACAGGTGTGAGCTACCGCCACCGCACCAGCCCAAGGCAAATGATTTTCATTGTAAATATTTGACTTTGGTGGAAGCATGTAATTGACTTCACTCTTGCTGTTTTAAGGAACTCAGAAGTGGAGATTTCAGTTCAGCAGTTGAGGAGAATTGCCGAGAGACATGAATGAAAAATCAGTGACATCTGATTGGCAGATGAGCTTATTTTAAATGCAAAGGTGGTTTTGCATTTCTTGTGTTCCATAGACTGCCATCATTGATGATCACTGTGAAAATCGACCAAGTGGTGTTTACATTTTACTTAAATGTCTTCTTAAATCTCAGCTTGTTGCAGATTAGGTCTTGTTGGAAGACTGAGCAAACTTGCCTTTCAGTATCGACCACTGACCAGTGTGATGACTGCTCGTAGGTATATCTGCACCATTTCTCAGGGAAGTAAGGTGTAAATTGAAGAAGACTTGCCCACAGAAGAAATGTATTAATGTATGTAGGAGCTGTAGTTCTTGTGGAAGTCGCTTGCTGAGTGGAGGAAACGCAATCTGTGATGGAAGCTGTGCCTGTAGCTGTGGGGAGGCCCATTCCCCAACTGCCAGCGGTTTCCTGGTATGGGCCACTCTGCCCTGCTGTCTCCCATTGGCTTTCTCTCCTTGGCCTTCCCTGGGCGCCAGCGAGTAAACTTCCTATTTCCTTGAGCCAAAAAACACAGGGCTACTCTGGAACGAGGCATTTTTGTCTTATAATCAGGTGATGGTTAACTTTTCTTGTTTCTTTGTTTTTTTCTGTCTCTCATTGTTTAGAAATGCAAAAATTCTTCTCCTAAAGAAGAAATTAAGGAACATTTGTCTTAATACTTGGACTGTCCATGTACTAAGCCCTTTGTTCTTCTGCTAAACCCTTCTGTCCACATACTAAGTTATTTGTTTCCCTCCTCTGAGCCACTCCCCTCTGTTTGTTTGGCTGTCCAGTGTCAGCCATGGCGACACTAAAGGAGGAGGAGGAGCCGGGGACTCCCAGGCTGGAGAGCAGAACAAGGCCAGGACCCGCCACGTGAAGCAGGATGGAAGCTGACTGCGGAACTGCACATTCAGTGGGCTGTTTCTGCTTATTTCATCTCTTCTATGCTTCCTCCTGCCAGTTATAGTTCAACAGGGCCTTAAAATTACTGGCCTTTTTCCAAATGCATCTATTTATAGAATCCCAAAGACCTCCACTTGCTTAAGTAAACCTGATCACTTACATTTTTGTGGTTTTGAGAAAGGACAGCAGTGTAGACTGGGGCGTCGCCTCCAGGGTGCTTCTCATACTGCAGGGTATTTACTATTACTCCCAGCATCCGCAGAAGATTGCAGAGCTCTCAAATGTGTGCTCCTGCTCATCTAATCAATAATTTAGATTCGTTCAACAAGCACATAGTAAGCGCCTGTTGTATCCCTACATTACACAGGTTTCAGCCTTTATCAGGCTTAATGAGCATGAAACACTGACACATCATTTTTTAATGTTTAAAACGGGTTTCTAATATTAAAGTCATAATGTGTCAACTACAGAAAATACGAACAGTAGAGAAGAACAAAAAATAAAAAGCATTCTCCTTTTTTCCCAGCCCAAATTCTCCTCTCTAAAATGGTTTCCACAAAAAAAGTGTTTATTCTTCTAACACATTTCACTTTTCTGTAAATATACATAAACTTAAAAAGAAAACCTGACGGTGTCTCTCGCACAAAATTTCATGCAGTGCTCCTTGTAGCTGACAGTGAAGATTTACCTCATTCTGCTCAGAGGCCTTGCTATGGACCTCTGCTACCACCTACTCAGTAGATTTTGACCTTTCATGAGCCACACAACGCAGATATGTATTGGGCAGCAGACTGTGTTTCGTGAACTGCAGTGATGTATACATCTTATAGATGCAAAGTATTTTGGGGTATATTATCCTAAGGGAAGGTAAAGATGATCTTAGGAACTGCTGTTTCACGGGGCCCTTGCCTGTGACCCTCTTCGCTGAAGAGTATTTAACCCCACACGGCACTTCAAAGAAGCTCTCTTGGAAGTCTGTCCCAGGAGCATCCATCCTGTCCTCTTAATTCTCCAGTGGATGCTCCATTTCAATTGCTTTGTGACTTCTTTTTCTTCTTCCTCCTCTTCCTCTTCCTCCTCCTCCTCTTCTTCTTTTCTTCTTCTTCTGCTTTTAACAGCAGAGCTGAATTTTCTGGAAAATGCTTGTTGGCTGGGGCTACTACCTCTTATCTTTATATCTATGTGACTGTTAACTGTTTTGTTTTTTTTTTTAAATTTTGAGTGATCCAGCATATGACCTAGAGAATGAACTAGATATGAAATGCCCAGGGTTGGAAATCCTAGCACATGTCTCAGCACTCTGCAAAGGAATGGCTTCCTCATTCCTTGTCTTGATAAAGTGGAATTGGCAAACCAGAATTTAGTTTGGACTCAGTGGACAATGCTTTTGAAGAGTCTGGGGACTGGTTATGTTAAAGGGCATTGGGGCACATTGAAAAAATGTATGTGTCTGCCAGGTGCATTTCTTGGTTTATGTCTTGTTCTTGAGATTTTGTATAATTAGGAAAACATCAAGCTGTAATTAATGTCTCCTGGAACACTATAGAGAACCAAGTGACTGACTCATTTACAACTGAAACCTTGGAAGCCCCTCAATCCCCAGTGGAACAGGACAGTTAGTCACCCTTCAGAAAACCCAGCTAATGTATTGGGTATGAGCTAAAAAGAGACTGGTCCATGGTGAGAAAAAATGTAAAAACCCTACAGTAGAATGAGCAGCCCTACCCAAGGGCAGGTAGGTGTTTGTTTGAAAAAGATGGTCTTCGGGCTAGGACATAGATGCAGCTAGCCCCAGGGGTTATATAACTGGGAGTGTTGGGTGCTTGCACCTCTCACCTTTGTTGATGCTCCGCCAGGAAGGCCACTTTGTGTGTGCCCATGTCAGTTACTTTTTTAGTAACAATTCAGATACAGTGTGAACTTCCTCTCGTTGTTCTCCAGTCACATGCCCCCTCTTCCCCACAGGTGAAAGTGTTTTCTGAAAGTGGTGGGATTGCTTAATGTCTTTATTTGTATTCCATATCTCCCCAAATCATCTGTGACAGGCGGCCTCTGTCTGAATGGTGCATGAAGGCTGTCTGACCTTACACACCATTTTGCAGGTTACTTTTTACATGCCCCATTTTTGAGACTGATCCTCGATGTAGGTGGATCTCCCGGAAATCCTGATAGCCTGTTACATGAATGCCGTAAAGGTCAGTTTTTCTGGTATTTATTTTCACAGCTTTGAGGAATATGCATAAGAATGTAGCCGAAGTGGAGGGCATGAGAGAGAAGGGCCAGGCCAACAGGCCAACCCTCCTCCAGTGAAATTCCTGTGTTGCTTCAAACTCTGAGCTAGATGGGACTTAACAGGCAGTGGGGTCTACTTCCCTCTCCTCAGCATCCTGTGCCCCTGACTTTCTGCTGAGTGAACTACTGTCATGTAGGACCCAAGAGGCCCCCGACTGAAAGTTTAAATTTCCCGTACTGAATCTGTGTGTTGCTGAGATTTGTAGGAAAGGATGCTTCACACACTAGATGGAGCATGCTGTGCTGCCTTTGGTATATGTTGTGAATTTTTATGTAAATTGTTTTGCAAAGCAAATTGATATGTTTGATAAATTTATGTTTTTAGGTAAATAAAAACTTCTAAAAACTTGTTTTGGAGTGTGTGTGTGCATGTGTGTGTTACTAAACACACATCCTGATAGCTTTCAAAGCACTTTCTCCTGCTGTTATATTCTTTTTTTTTTTTTTTAATTGTATTTTGGCTCTGGGGTACATGTGCACGTCCTGTATCCTGCAGGTTGTTGCATAGGTACATACATGCCATGGTCAGTGAGGCTGCTATATGTGTCGCTGATCAGATCTCAAAGTGTTCAGCTTCTTAAACAATACAGACAAACGCTGATCAAGTGCCGGGCAGTTCTTCCCACACAGGAGGGTCTGTGAAGAGTAATCATCTTGCTCTCCCATTGACACCTCCCTCCTCTTCCTTTACCTATGCTTTAAAAGGTTTAGGGCTTTCAAGGAAGTTGTTTTTAATGTTTTCTTTTGTTTAGATTCAAAGCTCCTCTCATTTTTGACATTGCTGAAAAGAAGGGATCTAGGTTAACCAGCATTCTGAGTGTGAAAACCGAATGGAAAACTGTGGATAATGAGAATAGGGTTTAGATGGAAGCCCTGGGGATCTGTATGTCTGCTGTTAACCTCAGCTCCAAACTCTTCCTCTCTCTGAGCAGCCAGGCCAGGGAGTCTCCTTTCTCAGTGTCATCACTTCTGTTGCTCAGTTTCTATAGATCCACTAACTTCCAGTCCAGCCAAAAAACTCAAAGGACGAGGCTGCAGCTGCTGGTGGTAAAATCCTTGCAGCTGAAGGTTACATGGAGCTGTCACAAAAGTGTAGTTTGGATCTAGAATTCCCCCAAACAATAGATTAGCATAATTTTGATTTTGCTAAATGGTAACTAAAGGAGAGGAAATATAATTTTTTTCTGAACCCTCATAAGTTCAGTTGAGACACTTTCCTGAAAACAAAAGCCAGATTAACAGAAAAATCAGCAGATAATGTGTGCTGTACTTATCATGTGGAAGAGATCTCAGTTCAAAAGTATCTCTCTCAAGTCAGTAGCTTAAGGGTCTTGCCTAAATGGTATTTTAACAAAGATCAGTAAATCTTAGCACAGTGACAAGACAAAGGAGACCGC